ATTCTAGATGGGAAATCACATTTAGAATGTTGTGATGATGCTCAGGGAATGAATGTAAATTAATAAAAAAAAAATTTTCAGAAGAAAAAAAAAGGCATTAGAAATACCTATTTGATGACTGCAGTTAAGCTATATAGCCCTAGTTAGGTGCTACTTTACAGTATGTTCATTCTATTCACTGAGGTTTATGCCTAAAGTCAGTCTTGTGTTCATGGATATGTACATATCAGCTGTGCTTGCTATTGAAAATATTTAGATTTATTAAGATATTTAGTGAAACAATAAAATGGGGGAGGCATAGAAAGCAACAATAGATACCAGACACAGTGTGGGAGGAGGGTGGGAGATGGCAGAGGGTGAGATAGGGAATCAAGGATGGGAAAAAAGGCAAAATATACAGAAAACAAGAAATGGAAAATGATTTGTTGACAATAACACATATGTTGATGTGCTTGATTGAGCCAATATACAGTGTATTCTCAATGGAAAAATCTCATTTTGTATGCTATAATGATGTACAGTGAATGAATGTAAATAAAGAAAAAAATGTATAAAAAAAAATTTCAAAAAAAAAAACAAAACAGTAAAAGATATGTTAATAAAAGAAAAGCGTAAGTTTATGTAATCAAAGTGTGATGTGACACGGGAAACTAGAAACAAAGATTCAAAGATACAGGAGAAACTATCTGAAAAAAAAAAAAAAAAAGAAGTCAAATGAAGGGGTCGGCGAGTGGCATGTTGGTTAAGGCACTGGAATCCCACATAGCTGACGGCGGTTCAAGTCCTGGACTAGGAAGCTTGCTTTCTCACTTTCCCTCTTTCTCGCTCTCTGTCTCTGGTCAAATTAAAAAGTAATAATAAATAAAAAATTTTAAAAAGTCAAATGAAGAAAAGACAATACATACTGTTCGAAAATGGCTGCTCAGATGATCGAGCCTGCTAAATCTTTTCCCACAGGCTTGGCATGGGTAGGGCCTTTCTCCTGTGTGACAGCGAAGGTGGCGCTTGAGGTCTGCCTTCCGCTTCACCACGTGCGTGCAGTACGGGCACTTGAACCGCATCCTGGGCAGATCGTCTGTCAGGAGACAGTTCAGTTAAGCCGCGGGAAGTTCGCGATGACAATCCCAATGTCAAACAGCTTCCCAAGTGGCTGAGGAGTCTCATCACGGACAGGGGAGAAGAGGAAGAGACTAGAGGCCAGTGTACCCCAGTACAGAGTGCTAACTCAGCACCTGGCATTTCCAGAGTTCGCGGAACATTTATTTATTATTTATTTTTTTGGAGACGTTTTCACTATAGGGCGCGTGTGCTCACCAGAAAGAGAGAGACAGAGACAGAAAGCGAGAAATCACCCCCCAGGGGGGATGGCCACGCTGCAATCCCTTTTCCTCCGTTCTCCTCTCGGGATCTTGGGCACGCACGCACACGTGCCCGGCGTGAGTTTAAGCCACCGGGTCCGAGACTGGAACCGTGGTCAACTACGTGGAAGTCCAGCGACATAGCCATTACGCCAACTGCTGGTCCCTTGTGGTAAATTTAGACCACCATGCACCTTTACCTTCTTATATAAGACAGCAGAGCCATTCGGACTTAAAAAAATAATAATGGATTTTAAAACTGTAGACGTGGGCGAGCAGGTGGCATGGTTAAAACACTGGACCCCCACATGGCTGACTGTGGCCCCCAAATCACAACAAATAAGATAAATAAATAAAAATAAAAATTTTAAAAAACAAACTATTGCCATAATTCAAAGTAAAAGTATTTTATATTTAAGCTTTTAGTTACCTTGTTTTAATTCCATTGCCTTACTTTTTATACACTTGTACTATTTTTTTTTTAATTAAGTTTTTAAAGTTTCGTGAGTTTATTGGAGAGAGACAGAGAGAGGGGAAGTGAAAAACCGCTCCCTTGGGGATGGTCACACTGCAGTCCCTCTCCTTCACTCTCGGTGGGACTTTGGACACCATGAACATATGTCTAGTGTGATCTTCAAGCTGCAGGGCCCAGACTCGAACCATGGTTGACTACGTGGGAGTCCAGAGCCTTAACCACCACACTACCTGCTGGCCCTGTACTTTATTTTTATTATTAATTTTAAATGTGCTACAGGGCTCATATGCTTGCTGTAGACAGATTAGAGAGAGAGAAAAGTAGAACCCTCCCTTAGGGAGGATGGCCAAACCATAATCCCTTCTCCCCCATTCTTCTCTCAGAATTTTGGCCATGCACACAAACTTACCCAGTATGATTTTCAAGCCGCTGGGTCTAGGACTCAGCTTATGCAGTTGGCCATATGGAATCTAGCACTTTAACTTCTATGCCATTTGCTGGTCCAGTGCTTTTTATTTTATTTTTTAAATCATTATTTACTGGGGACCAGCAGTTAGTGTAATGGCTATGTCACTGGGCTCCCATATAGTCAGCCGCGGTTCAAGTCCTGGCCCTGGTGGCTTAAACTCATGCCGGGCGCGTGTGCGTGCATGCCCAAGATCCCAAGAGGAGGATGGAAGAGAAGGGATTGCGGAGTTGCCATTTCCCCAGGGGGTGATTTCTTGCTTTCTGTCTCTCTGTCTCTCTCTGTCTTTCTGGCAAGTGCACATGCCCTATAGCCAAAAAAAAAAAAGAAAAAAAAAAAAAACTCTCAAAAAAAGAAAAAGAATTTTTTATTGGAAAAAAAAAAATTCTTTTGGGCTGGCAGGTGGTGTGGTGGTTAAGAA